CCTTCCAAGAAAGAAAAAGAGGGTTAGACCCTTTTGGGAAAGGTTTTTTTACAGTGATTTAAAAATCGGGGCACGGGAATCGGTTACACCGTGCCGACTTCAGTGTGAAACCGAGAACCACCCAGTTCTAGATCAGAACCGGCCGGTTTTGGGGTCTGCTTGTGACGCCATATACGGGTGAAAATCGCTCGTATGAAATCACATAGCCCTTTCAAGAAAGAAAAAGAGGCTTAGACCCTTTTAGTAAAGGTTTCTATCAGTGATTTAAAAATCGGGGCATGGGAATCAGTTACCCCGTGCCGATTCCAGTGTGAAACTGGGAACCACCCAGTTTAAGAACAGAACCGGCCGGTTCTGTGGTCCGCTTGTGACATCATACACGGGTGAAAATCGTCACATAGCCCTTCCAAGAAAGAAAAAGAGGGTTAAACCCTTTTGGGAAGGTTTCTATCAGTGATTTAAAAATCGGGGCATGGGAATTAGTTACCACGTGTCGATTCCAATGTGAAACCGGGAAACACCCAGTTTTAGAACAGAACCGGCCGATTCTACGGTCTGCTTGTGACGTCATACAAGGGTAAAAATTGTCACATGGCCCTTCCAAGAAAGAAAAAGAGGGTTAGACCTTTTTGGGAAAGGTTTCTATCGGTGATTTAAAAATCGAGGCATGGGAATCAGTTACCTCGTGCCGATTCCAGTGTGGAACCGGGAACCACCCAGTTTTAGAACATAACCGGCCGGTCCTGCGATCCACTTGTGACGTCATACATGGGTGAAAATCGTCCGTATGACATCACATAGCGAGGTAGCACGAGCCAAAACAGCACCGATTCTTTGTAGTCCACACGTGGGACTATAGTTTCCCATCGGCCGGGCATGGATGGCAACCTCGAGCACACGCGTACAATGGTTTAGAAACTTACAAAGCAATTTATAAACGTAAAACTAAAACTCGTTATTGGATGTGGGATAATTCCCACGGTGCGTTAAATTATGACGGAATTTGGATAAGTATTATTAATATAGAAAACAATTATACTTGTGCTGATGTGGCGGAGTGGTTATCACTTCCACAGTGGAGCCTTCATTTCTCAAGTTCGATTCCGCCTTGGACACATTTTATTTTATTTTTGTTGACAACAAAAATAAGCAAAAAATAAATTTTTTTAAAAAAAAATTATTGTTTTTTAAATCTCTTACTTTATATTAACAATATTTTTTACTAAATTTATTCTATAAATCTAAAAAATTAATTTTTTAAAATAAATTTATTCCATTTAAAATCTCTCTCTTTCTATTAACAATCTCTTTTACTAAATTTATTCTAGAAATCTAAAAAATTTAAATTTTGAAAAATTAAAGTGTTCTTTCAAAAATTTGTATGCATTCTAATAATTTCTAACCAAATTTTTTATTTTATTTATTAATTTTGCATTATAAATCATGTAATTTATTATCTTTCTTACAGCTCTCAATAATATATTTTAAATTAGATCGTATTACAAAATATTTTGGATTTGTTATTATTTACATAATAAAATAATTATAAAATTTAAACCAACAATTTTAATTTCAGCATATAACATTATAGTTAGTTAGGTTGTAATAAATTTGGATTATAGTTAATTAGTTTGTAATAATTTGGGCTTTTTAGGGGATTAGGGCTTTCTGCCAATTTGAGATTTTGATGGCCATTTTTTATCGATTAAATCCACTCTTTATAGTAGTCTATGTATGATTATATTTTTTATCTATGATAATTATATGATTTTCTTATGTATGATGTAAATTTAATGGTTGACATAGGTTTATACAGAGAAAAAACATATCAATATTCACAAATTGATGAAAAAAGTGAAAGTTAACAATGAAGTACCCTCATTTCTTATTTGGATTCCTAAAAGGCAACATTTATAATTAATTTTAATTACTTTTTTGGATTTTTTTAGAGCTTAATCCAAACGAATAGGCCGATTCCCGATTCGTATCGCCGATTCACCGATCGGGATGGGTTTTTGAATTGCCCGATTCGGGGCACCGATCCGTTTTTTAAATCACTGGTTTCTATGCTTCTCCTACATCAAAGAAGTTATGTCCTTCCCCTACCATCCAGCCGCCCAATTTTGATCAAGAGAGCCACTCACTGTTTGATCTTAGATCCGACGTCTCAAAGTATTTTGTTTTTAGTTTTTTTTATGCAAATTATATGCATATGAAATTTAGTACGTGTCATCTTCTCATTGGGGCACACCTATAAAAAATATTAAAAATAGTTTTTCGATAAAATATAATGACCAAAATACCCCTTGAATCTTTCAAAGGTATTTTAGTCATTTTATTTTATTGAAAATATTGTTTTTATATTTTTCGCTAATGTGAGTTTAATAGAGGAATGGACATCCAAAATTTGGTGTCAAAATAGTTTATAGAAAAAAAAAATTAAAAATAAAATAATCTTGAGATGTGATATTGTGATGGGGGCCATCTTATTCAGAATAATCGGTTGGATAAGGAGGAGGATAGTAAGGGAAGCATAGAAAGCTTACCCTAGACTTTAAAGCTTACCCTAGACTTTTTTTTTTCTTTTCTTTGGACAAAACTTAAAAGGATTTGAACCATTAACCTTCCTCATTCATGCCGAATATGTACAACTAAACTCAAATTTGAATGATATTTAACCGTAGTTCTTTTTCTTGTAGGACTATGCTACAAATACTTGAATTTAGTATGAGGAAAAGATCATAGAGTCTAGCCGGATCATATAATTCGGTTGTCTAGCACCCAAAAATATATTCAGGGAGATTTTTCTTTATGAAATTTTTCGAATCATCTTCGATTCACTTTATGAACAAGTTCGAAAAAAAATCTTGAGCTTCGAGAAAGCTAAACCTCTCATTTCTCGGATGGGCAATATGGGGTCCGTTTTAAGGGGGAATTAATTTGGAGCACTTTTTTGAGCTCCAAAGACACTTACGAAACTCAAAAATATATATATATATATATTTAGAAAATTTTCTTGGTAAACAAAAAAAAAGGAAAAAAAAGAAACCAAGAAAATTAATTTTTGAATATATGAAACTTTTAAATCAATAAAACCGCCTCTAAGGACCCCAATTATATATATTGTGGGCCATAATGCTTACCTAAAGACTTACGATCACACTAGAAGTATGACCTTTAATAGAGCAGAATGATAGACAAAATTTGTACAACCAACTCCAATTAGTTTGGAAAAGACTTTCACAATGATGAGAATGATAACCGATTACAGATCCTCTAACTATATGCATAGCATGACTCTTGTTTTTTTTATAAAAATGGTAGTTAGTCGCCATTATGCTTGTAAAGAAGGGAGGGCTTTCTATGTGACTCCACCCACATATATGGTACATGTGACCTCTGGTCTCAACCATTAGATCTGAATAGATGGCTTGAGTCACAATGTCACAAGCTAGCACTTAACTATCAAATCTTGATCAGACGGCTCATAGTATTTTGTCTTTTATTTTTATTCTACAGATAATTTTGAAGCAAATTTTGGGGCATGGATAGATCCAACAAAGGTGCATATGATAAAAATATTAAAAAAATATTTCTAGTGATAAAAAATAACCAGAATACCCCTAAAAATTGTATGGGCCTTTTAATCATTTATTTTTATATAAAATATTTTTGTTTTATTTTTTTTTATGTTTGCCCTATTTTTCTGATGGGACGGCCAAAATTTCATAAAAAATGTTTTTGTAGAAAAAAAAAATGAAAAATGAAACAGTATTTGACATGATATTTTGATATGAACATTCGTAGCCGTTCGATTCAGGTCGAACCGCTAAGAAGTGGGGTCGTATATAACTTATACGTTGTAGGGGTCACATAGATACATTTCCCATTAAATAAGTCAATTATGTAGTGTTGCTTTGATCACAAAGGATTAATGCAAAAAGATATGCTGCTCCCTTGGGAGCATACTATCATTTGCTTCCTCAAATAAATCTCAAGGTAGAAATATTTTTAGGACCTTAAATTTTGAAGACATAAGACCTGGCTACCAATCTTAAAATAAAAACTAAAAATAAATAATAAATCACACATTTTATGTGCTTGAAAAAATTAACGTCCCAAGATTCCACAACGAGAATCCATTTTGGGAATGGTAAAATCTAAGCAAAAACTCAAAATTCAATTTTTTTTTTTTTAGGAAAGTATCATAAAAGTATGTAAAAAGATCATTTACTATTAATACAAGAAAGTCACTCACACTCTTATCCATGAAGTTTTAAATTAGGGTGCAGTTGGCACACTGCTGCATCTGTAGCTGTAGAGGTAAGATGCACCTTCAAATTTTATCATAGTATATAACTTTGATGTAAAATATTTTTAGGATTATCTCAAAATCTATTTTTATATTTAATTATAAAATTTTAAATTTCAAAAATGGTTAAAATCCAATACATCTATAAAGATATGAAAATCTTGAAATGGACAGTGTAGATAATATGTTGTAAGATGCACTACTTCTGAAACTCAAAATCTTTTTATTTTTCAATCTTACATCTCAACATCAAGATGATCAATCAAATGGTTTTTCAACGTTAAAACAATCTTTTCAATTGGATTTTTTAGGTGTATCCATAGCTCTACATTATAAAGTTCCAACCGTATATAAATTTTTTCCATTAAATGAAGTGATTGTGAATGTGCCATTGACTAGCTCAACGTTCAAAAAAAACTTCTCAAACTTTGTGACATACCCCAAATCATCCAATTTAACGTGTAGTGGCTATCCAATTTAACATCTAGTGGCTAACCTCCATGCAACAAATATAAGATAAATGGTCTAATAAGATACCATCCTTTCTGTTTTTTTGGAAAATAATCATCTATTGAATCTTAAGGGGTTACTAAAAATACAAATAGAAAAAAATTGCTCACCGTAGTTGATGCAGAATATGCTCCCAGACAAGCATCTTACAAGGGCAGTTGCCACTTAATGTTACGATTTGAATGTTTTTCTAAGACCGCACATTTACTCTGTCAGGTAAAAGACCAACTCGGGGACATTTTTTTTATCCAAAATTTTGGAAACCACCTGAAAATCACCATATTATTAGATTCAAAAGAAAAAAAAATTGAATTTTGAGTTTTCTAACACTTAAATCCCACCCTTCAAAAAACTGTGGACCATTTCTATTGAATCTTGAGGTATTATTTTTTTCAAGCCCACAGGAAATTGCAATTTGGAAATTTTTAGATGTGGAGTATAGCATATGGTTTAAAGAGGTTAAACCCCAAGATTTGGGTTTCTAAAAAATACACGTAAATTGGGTTTTGCCCAAGGTAGTAAATGAACAGTATTTAGCTTCTTCGATAGAAGAAGCAAATTCATAAAACAGTTTGCCGCAGGAGCGTAGCATGATATATATCCATCTCGTGTTCCAAACAGAGCCTTAAAAGGTTTTGGTACCATATTTAGTGTTAAAAAAATTAGATATGCAACTGAGAAATGCTAGTGTTGATTATCAGTAACAAATAGAATCAAGAATAAAAAGGAAAAGTTTATATTCATGTTACTGTATAACAGTTTACCTTGCCGTACAAAGTGTCAGTTTCTCTCTCTCGTGAATCTTCAAAACTGCTCATTTACAAGAAAGCACGAAAGCACCTCTTTTTAACACCATCCGACTCATGGCATTGGATGATAGCATGGTAATAAATCTCACCATCAACAGAGACCTTGATCCTTGCCAAAAATATTGCAATTAATTGGACCGTTCTTCCGTTGTCAAGGCATTGTGGACAATTAAGTCAAACGTCATTCAGGGAGTATCAAACGATCAAAGAGTACAAGTAAGCTTTGCTTTGGAACTGCATAGAGAAATCCAAGCTCTGCGCCACTCAAAGGTCCCATACCCTGAATGAAACAATTAAATTCATACCAACAATTGACAATAAGTTTCAAAGTAAAACCATACAGACATTGTTATAAGCCTAGAGAAAATGAAACCTATTTGCAAATTCGTTGATTACCTTGCCATTAAAAAGTAGCAGCTCACCATCAACCCATCGAGGATTCTGAAATCCCGGTTCTGCTATCCTTCCCCGACCTTTGTATCTCATAACCTTCAAAAAGACCTGATTTTTTAACTCTGCTTCTTTCTTCAGAAAGGACTTCTTTCTTCAGAAAGGACACTATATTTAAATAAATCAATGTGACACACACTAACACAGTCCTTCAGGTCACACACAAGTGAACAGGGAGTGATGCGAATGGCGGGTCCCACTCTCCATCACCATCCATAATTTTCATTGGAAGGTGGTGATCCCAATCGAATATCATTTTTTTATAGTCCATTGGATTGCATTTCTTTCTTAGAAGGTTCAGTTCAAAGTTGCCCAACAGACAAGAATATATATACAAGCAAAAAAATATAATCTTCCAAACAGGGCTAATTTAAGCCCCTGAACAAAAAAAACTGAGAGAAGAAAAGCTAAATATTGTACACAAATTATAACTTTAGATCAAAAACAAATTTGTCATTTCATAAGCCAAATAAGACCTATAAATTTCAAGGACAACCGAAAACCCCTCCGAATTACATGATAATCATTTTATGACATTTTAGTGAAGATCAACGACCCGCATGCTTTTTCTCTAAGTTGTTCTCTCATATAATTAAAGGGATAAAAGATGCTAATGATATTTGGTCACTATGAAAAATACAATTAGCAGTAGTTTTATCAGGTTTCTGAAAGATCAAGAATATGAAACAATGAAGACATTTTGGACAGTAATGATAGGTATTTGAAACATTCAGCAGAAAATTCACAAATGGAAGGAAGAATATGAACTTGTACCACGCCTAACTCCTCTGGATAGCTTCCATTGTTAACTAGACGATTCTCTTGGCCAACTTTAGCAAGAAAAGTGACCTAATGAAGAAACAGAAACAAGCATAAGAAATACGGAGACCTATCTATCTTGTCAAAGGAGAATTACCAAAGAACTACTTCTACTATATATATGTATGTGTGTGTATATACATGTACATACATACATATATGTGTGTGTGTATTATCAAAACAATTCTAGGCTTTAAAAAAATTAAAGTTCACTAACTAACCTGTCCAGCAGGGACATTAAGGTCACCAGTCAACTTTACAGCTTCGACATACTGGCAAAATTCAAAATTTGAGAAACTCTCGTCGTTCTCATCCAGGCGAGGCCAAGGACCAACCTTACACCTTAACTGGACCACCTCAGACTCAAATGGGCCAAATGCTCCAACATATAAGCCTACATTAAAGCAAGCACCATTAATCCTCTAGGGATGAATCAGGCGAATGGCACTGACAAAATTATCTTCCTAATAAACAAGAAAGGAAAGTACCAATGGACTATCGGAAAACCATAGCCCTTTGGGATGGTAATAAAGTTACGAAAATGAGCTTACCATCAAGTGGATCTGTGCTCTCATTGCCATTTTTTATGCGATGGAACATGGTTGTCGGAGACAATATGTTTCGTCTTTGAGCTTGAACAATTGCATACTTCACAATCTCACGGAGATTTCTAGATACCTAAAAAAGACTTGGTGCTTAACAAGTATGTTGGAAGAACGGAAATTAAGCTACAACTTGCATTGTATTAAGTAATGTAAGTGGTAATCATAACATTCTAATACTTCCTCTTGATAACTTATAACATAACATAGAATGCGACTGTTCATGCAACTGGCTCTTATATCATAACATGCAAATGTGGCTGAAGTGATAAGACCTTAATTCCCTCTTGCAATGAATGGAAAATACCTATGCTTCTTGTTTACAAATCCAGACAAAGATTAAACTCCACAATATGCCAAGTAACTCAGAGAATTAAATGCATAATATATCTAATCTTAAGCCCATAAGTGACACAAGAGATTTAATACATTAGTCTCACATGCATAACAGTAATCAAACGAGAGTTTATACTCCATATTGAAAATTCAAATAAGTCATTAACAATCCCAAGATTCACACAGAGCCCCACGCCTGCCTCACCCATTTCAAGTTCCTGCAATTGCCCTCCTCCATCCAATAAATAATCTCCATAAACCAGTTCTTGTTTCAATTATTGTTGCTAGGCACCCCTGTGAGAACTGATACCAATATACAATAGTGGTACCAATACATGGCTTGAAAAGTTTAGGGTAGGGTCCTTACGTAATCCCTCCCTATGTCTGGCAATGATGCTTCATTGACTCATGCCTGGCATGGGCAGGATATTGGTTCAGCAATAAATTCGTTACAACAATCCATTAGCTAAAATTCCATAAACTAATGTTTTAGTAGCATTAATTATTATTTGCAATATACATCCAACAGAAATAAGATGCCTTAAATTAATGTGTGTGTAAAAGTTTGTGACTTCCACATATCTTCCATAGAATTACATCGAATATCTTTTGCCATCACATAGGAATCATCGCATAATACACAATATCAACAACTAACATCCTGTAACCAAATATTACTACATGATATGGGCCATCACCTAAAATTACTAGCTATATGTTGCATGGACATGAACATTTGTGTAAGTTGTCCGACATGGGAACGGGGTGTTGGATTCTTCATGCCATGAATTTGAGGATTTGGCAACCTACTATATTATGAAGAGAACCAAATCCAACAATGTCTTACGAATAATCCATTTCATGATGAGCAGCAAGAAATAATTAATTGTAATTTTATTGGCTGAATTCACAGATTATTTCAAAGTTCCATTGAAGCTTTCAAAGTTCATATGCATCTACTCAAAACAAAAAAATAGGATCATCTCTAAAATGATGTAAACTAATGGTCTATAAATAATAAGAATCCAGAAGAATCTGTATTATTATGTGTGCTGATACATGTTTGACATGTGTACAACACCCAAAAAGAAGAATCCATGTAACATAATTATGAGTAGTAACCATATCATATCCAGAAGGACATCTATGGATAGCTCCACTTTGTTTGGGACTATAAAATTATCTCAAGGGCCCCACCTCATATATTATATCTTGCATGATGTTATAGAAAGCAATTGCTCCCCTTGTTATATAGCAACACAGTACCAACAAATACTAAATCCAGCTATAACTACAGGATATGGACCATCCACTAAGCTTATTAGCGACACATAGTTCAACCATTTCATATAAGAACTAGGTGTGTAGGTAAGAGTGTGTGTGTGAGTAGGCACCCACCTAAGTGGACATGAGAGGGCTATGCCCTAGGCACTCGCCTGACCTTAGGAGATGCACCTTGGGCCCTCAACTGCCTAGAAGCCTAGGTGGCCGATTTTTAAAACACCGAACCCTCTTTTATTCCAAACATTCAACCACCTTATACTCTAGATGACATCTATGGATGGCTCAACTTTGACACAATAAAACCAAAACTTTCAGGTTCTTTGCAGGCGTGAACATAGAGGGGATGAGCAATAGATCATACACATCAAGGCTAGATACCTTTCAGGGTTTTAGTTCTAATACAATGCTTCATATGAATTAATACCTGAGCCTCAAGGATTCTGTATATCAGCTTTGTCAAAACACATAGAGAGATGCCTAAACTTGAGGGTTTGAGGCTAGTTCTTCACAAGGAGGAAGATATCAACAATATGTCATGAGTATCTCAATAGTTTGACTCAATCCCGGAAGACATGCAAGCTCTAGTTGTCAATTCACATCTCAAGGAACAATTTTTAATAAGCATTGTATTATAAAGAGCTATTCCCCATTTCCTTAACGTTCTTCAATGTTTTAAATTGATTTAAATAACATGTAATTCTTAGGATGGCTGCCTAGGATTCTTAAAAATATCACATCTTTTACACCATCCAGAGAATATTAATCCATGTTCAAAGGGAAAGGAAAACTCAGTAAATGTGGAATGAGAGAAAGCTTTGGATAATAGTACTCAACATTGTAGCTTTTTCTTCTCAACCAATAATACCAATCTAGAAAGTTTCCATAAGTCGGGTCCAGGGGCCTACCCCTAGTTTCAAATCAAGTCACTGCATACTCACCTTAGGAAAAGCTTTATCCATCCTCAGAAATGCTTTAGCAACATCAGGGGGCATAAGTTCTGAAGCCGCTTGAGCAGCTATTTGAGCCAATTCAAGTTTTGAAGCCTTGCCCCAACCTGCACCTGATTCTCCATTCCCAGGAATACAAAGCACAAAAGAGTCTCTTTCTATGTCTTTAATTTGAGCGGGCACACGTGTAGGCGCCTTCGATGAGCTTTCCTCATCAGTTTGCAAAACCCCACCAATTACAAGTTTTACATTCATATCTTTCCCATCACTCCCTAAATCACCATCCCCTCCAGCTAGCACTTCCTCATCCTGAAAATCACTTGAGCTTCCATCGTCATCGTCAGAGCTTTCAACAGAATCGCCATTCCCATCATCTCCCTGTAATTGCTCAACCAAGTTGATACCTTTTTTGACATCCACTGGTGAGATATTAGTCAGAACTTTAACTTTTAAACTCGGTATCCTATCTTTAAGGAAATTTATAAAACTTCTCAATCCTTCCTCAGTGACATCTTTGATATCATTCTGCTTCCCATCAACTTTTTCAGAGCTAAATTCATTCATTTTATCTTCTTCAGACAACTTTTGAGAGTCGGGCGTAGAAGCAACATCTGAAGATTTCAATGATGAGGATGTAGATTGAGAGGAGCTTCCCTTGGGTGGCTGCAAATAGACTGCCTGTCTATATATAGAAAGTATCAGTGGGACATTCAGATTAGTGTTGCATAAATAAACAAGTAGAAAGACAGTTGAATAATGGGAACATATACTATAATCCAATGCAACATGGAAAACCACAGTCGCTTACAGTCATCACCATCGATGAAAAGATAGATGGCATTGTAGAACAAGAGAAACAGATGGAGAAACAGATGGACACAGAGAGATGCCAACCAAAACAAAACATGACCGCAATGGTCGGTGGTCCTGTTCCATCACTAGTCCATCACTTCATCAGATGGTAATCCCAATAGATATAGTTTTAAATAGTGGATTATAGTATACTTTCCCTTGAATAGTTACTACCACAAGTATGTTCATATTACCTGCATTTTGTATCCTTCAATAGCATCTTTTACAACAAAGATTTCAAATAGAGGAGTACCAGAAGATACAGTAGTCAGTTGCCTGAAACAAATGATACAAATCTAAGAAATGTCACCTCTCAATAAATTTTATCTGCAGATTAAACTTAAATAAGCACATATTAGATGAATAATACCTTGGACTAAAGCTCCTGGCAACAAATCTACCTACAGCTGGTGTAATTTGAACAATTTTGCCTAGAGGATCATCAAAACCTTCTGACCAGCCAACCCACCAGCCAACCTGATATAAAAGAAAGGAAAGAGTGGCACACTAAGCATTAATACTAAAAATTTAACTTCAATTCTCGAAACTAAGCAATAGACAGAATTGTCAACCTTGTAGTCAGGAATTTTAAGAACTACATATGAAGTTTCATGCTATATGAAAAAGAAGAGTTATATACCCTCAAAATGAATGTGAGAGAGAGAGAGAGAGAAAGAGAAAGAGTACTCAGTTCCCGACCATTAACTCATATATCTATACTTATAAAGAGAATTAGACATTTTTTTTATAAGTTACAAGATAAGGAGCCTACTCATTAACAACTATAACATTATGTCGTGAGATTGATTGGTTCCCATAAAAGCAATCAATGAGATGCAATAATAAAGAAGGGTTATGTTAGGGTGCTCACACTATAGAGTAATTTATCATTGTCACTCAACAAATTTGGACACTTATATACCTTTGTTTTGTACATAGAGCTTTTTTTTAGTAAGGGTATTTTTGGTCATTAGGAGGGGTGTGACATCATCTACATGGGATGTGACATCACCTACATGGGATGTGACATCACCCACATGAAGTATTAAATACCACTCGCGTGCTCCATATGGGTGATGTCACACCTATGTGGATGATGTCACACCCCTCCTAATGACCAAATATACCCTTGTTAAAAAAATGCTCCATGTACAAAACAAGGGTATACAGGTGTCTAAAATTTGTTGAGTACAAAGATAAATTACTCCATAGTGTGAGCACCCTAACATAACCCAATAAAGAAATTGAAACATGGCTTTATTAGACATTTACAATTTCAATATATGAGGAATTGCAATTACCAGCCCGCTCCCTGTAGTTCTGCAAATCAATGAGGCATCATGGTAGCGCTCTTCCATTATAGACTTCTGAAAGGTAACAAGATATTGAGTTAGAGAACATGGTGATAAGATGGTTTTTCATGTGGAAGACAATAATAGCCAATTATTCAGACCTCCAGTTGTGACATTACTTCAGCAACAACATCCTTGGATGCTACTTCCTCTAAGGCTTTCTTCACTTGTGAAGCTTCATAAAAATCTTCATTTTCAACTGCCTCTTCAAGTTGAAACTGCAACTCAATACTCAAAAGTTAGTTAATAAATAATTCACCAGAATGTTGGAATAATTCCATTGCAAACTCTACAAATCATAAATTTACTCACATGCATTAGACAAGCCATACACTAAACATGAATATCCTATATCACAGAGGTACTAAAACATTATATCTATAGAAGTAAGTAAAATAAACAACAAAATGACATGCCAAGCCAGCAAGGCTAAATTTAATATTACTTCGAGCATATTCTTCATAAAAATCATGAAAAATCAGATACAATGTACAATTCAATCTGCCAAAAAGAACTTGAAATACAATTCTGAATTCTTCTAATCAAAGTACAATTCACAATCTGATAACGCCAATTAAGTACTCTAATCTTCTATGTATCAGAAAGTGACAGTACTAGTTGCAGGGCATGTGTTCAAGGTCCTGACCACCGAGGAACTTAATAACAAAAATATAGGTATAATACAATAGAATATAGCACTCTAATAAGGGCAAACCTTTTTCTTTTCTATAGAATAAGATAGTTTTCTTTCTTTGCAGCACTAGCCAACCTTTTTCCATTTCTATAGATATGCATAATTAGTGGACCTAGAGTTTTTGAAAAGGTATTTATCTATTTATGGAAGAAAATCAAATGCGCTCATAGAAGCCAAGTAAAAAAGTTCTTTATATCTTGAAACCAAATTACTCAGCTCAAAAAGGAAACTGAGATCACAAACCATACATAATCTCATGATCAAGACGATGAAAACCAAATCCAAAGATGTTTCGACATGATCTTGGGTGTTTTCCACACAGGGTAGCTTAGTCCATTAAATGAATTTTTGAAAAAAACATACCAGCTCAGGTATTCTCAAAATTGCCTGGTATCTTTACATCACTCGAGTCTAGGGTGGTGAGTTTCCGAAGAGAATGCGTATTTACCCTACACAGGACATACATCTCCTAGATTGCACATAGATTATGTTAATAGATGGTTTTAACTTTCTAAAATGTTTCAACAATTAACCCAAAAAAAAAAGTTTGTGCACATTTTCATTGCACGAAATCTTTCAACTGCAACTCTATAGTGGATGGAAAAAAAATATAAGCATCTGCATGTCTTCAGTGCAGTGATGCTTTGGACCACTTAAATTTTTCTCAGAGTTATTAGCGATCATTGAAATTAAACCCTCAAGTTCAAAGAAACTTCAAAATTAAGCTCCAGTTGCATAAAGAAAATGGTAATGGAAAGCCATCCGACTAGGTCGTTACAAACATAATTGAAACTGAACCATCTAAATTAGAGGTTCAAGACCAAGAATAGAGCTTCCTGGGTAGCTGCAATCCAGTTAAGTTCACAAATTATAACTTGAAACCCAATATCTGAACCGAAACCCCAAAAATCAAGAAACAACAAGAGCGAGATATCCCAGAGACCAAAATAGTTTTTCTAGTAATTTGCAGATTCCAATACGAATAATTTAACCTCCACATTTAAGATCTATGCAGTATTACAAATGGATAAGTGGATAAATGCATGTGAATGAAACCCCCATATCAAAAGACTGAAAACAGAGCTTAACAGCAAGAAACCAGAAAGCATCACGGATAAAGGGAAAATCAATACTCAATAGCAAGAAAGAGAAAAATAATTCTCTTCATACCATCATATGTATGCAGCTCAGTTTCGTTCTAGTTCTTTAAAGGGAAATCTTTTCATGCGGGCTGGACCTATTGTCAGAGAGAGAGAGAGAGAGAGAGAGAGAGAGAGAGAGAGAGAAAGAATTGGGAATATACCTTGAGGAGTGAAGAGTAGTTCTCATCCTGGTCTATCTGAGAGAAATGGCGTTGCCATGAGCTCCAATCCGACTCTTGGGCGGCGTTTTGTGATGATGTGCCATTATTGCACCTGCAAATGAGACTATTGCCACCATTGTTATTGTTTTTAATCTGCTGCTTCAATGAAGAAACTGGGGCTTTAAAACTGGGTGGTTTTCCTCCATTGTTGGTGTGGTAGCTGCACTGCTTACTGTAAAACCATGGAATTATGAGTCCCCCTGTCGTCGCAACCGCCATCATCTTATCTCTTCTCTCTCTAATGAATTCTAGCACTGGAACATGAAAATCTGAAGAGTTTGAAAATGATTAATCAAATTGTTCTCGGACAAAATCTTCCCTCTCCCCCCGCTCTGTTGTCATTAAAAACTCTCACCGTCCGGTGTTGTGTGGGTCAAATGACTCGTACTCGGTTGATGCGAATCACCGAGATAAATGAAATGACTCGTTAAAACTCGCCTGTACATTTTAAAATTCGTAAAAAATATTAGAATCACTTGATTTAGATCTGGAACGTTCCGGGCCAAACCCTGCCCAACCGATTCTTGCTAAATAAGTTCCCTTATGAAATTAATGGACCTACGCCACTTAAAAATTGTTCCAACTGTTACAACTCGTTAGAAGAACCTACCCCACTTCTTTTAATGACAGGTTCTCTAATCCTAATTGCTAATCCGACGAATCAATAATCCGCATTGAAAATCTAGATCAGATCCGCTTTTCAAAACATGTGCAACTTGTAATAGGAAGACTAGAGCTTGCTGATCGACTCAGCCACTGCCATACCCTATAGCCAACTTAAATTGAGAGCTCGAAAAAGACCCGCTCACATTTTCTTTTGCAAAAGATAAAATATTAAATGTAATTAAATATGATTAGGGTTGTATATAATGAGAACAATTACCTTTGATACAATTATTTATAACCATTTCATGTGAAAGGTATATCACAAATTTCGAAAAAAAAAATTTGAAGTTTTTGCATGGTCAATGGAATAAAGGCAACCATCCACCTTATACCAGTGTTTTGAAGCCATGGCTCGGCTGCGTACTCGGCCCTTGCTCGAGCGAAGTACTCAGTTCGAATCCGAAAGGTTAAGTACGGTAGCAATAAAAAATGCTAAAAAAGTAAAAATACAAAAAAATTAAGAAAAATATATTTAAATTACAATTAAACAAAACACATCTAAATAAAGTTAAATAGTAGTGAAAAATAAAGTCCGAAAAAAATCAATTTGAGATCAAGGGTATTATAGAAATAATCCAAACAAAAGTAAATGTAAAAATAAATATTTATGACCAAAATGCTTTTCAAATATTTGCCAAAATGATAAAAAAATATTAAAAAAATATCACAAATAAATTTCTTATTTTTTATAATATATTTTAAAATCCCCTAATCGGATGCCTACCTCGGAGAAACTTGGCCTTGCCAGCACTCCGCCCGAGTAGCCGAACACTATCATGTACTATCGAAGTAAGAGGCAGCTCAAAATCGGTTTCGGTGCTCTAAAGCCTTGTGATGGAATGAACTCTAATTATGAAATTCAGAGTTCTAAAAAATGATATAAATCAAATATATCTAAAAATAATTAACAATTTTGAAAATGGACAATGTAGATAATACGCTACAATATTTGTATGACTTAAATTTATATATATATATATATATATATATAAATAAAGGATGCGGTTTGTATAGAGCTTAGGCTTTAAACAATCAAATTAGAGCCTACCTTCAAATAGTGTCGATTAATAGGGTTTTAATTTTGGAAAACTTTGTGATAGCCTTAAAATATATATTCATATTTATTTATAACGTTTAAAGCTTCAAAAATAGTACAGATCAACAAATCCATGAAAACTTGAAAATGGACGGTCCAAAAATGTGTCACAAAATACGTTACTTTCAAAACTTGAAATCCATTTTTTTCTCTTGCCCATGCATATTGATGTTGAGATGATTGATTTGAAGATATTTGGGAATCAAAACAACCTCTTCTAGTGAAATATTTGATGTAGGCTCAAATTTGAATGCTTGGGGAATCAAAACAACCCCTTCTAGTGAAATGTTTGATGTAGGCTCAAATTTGATTATTTAGAGCCTCGGCTCTATATAAACTTTTCCCATATAGAAAGTCTTAAAAACGGCTATAGGCGAAGTACTGCATTGTTTCGTACTATGTTCGTAACGGTTTTGCTTAAAAACCCCCCGGACCTACTAGAGCTGTGGCGGTCCCCCTATATTTTTTACTTCAAATTTGCATGAAAAAAATCATGTCACGGACATGCTATGTCCATGACGGTCTTTAATCCACACCGTTCAAAAAAATCGGACGGCGCCGAGCCTATGGGTGAAAATATTGTTCATTTTCGCCTATAAGCATTTTGTAGTCTCTTCCTATATATATATATATATATATATATATATATATATATATATATATATATATGGAAGATAATACAAAACAAAACTGAAAATTGAAATACTATCAGATAATTGTGACCATGCGATGAAGTTTGGATGGTGATGAGGGTAGGAAAAATCACTATTCATTGTCGCCTGTAGGCGTTGGGAATAGTTTTTCATATATATATATATATATATATATATGGGGTACGGTTTGTGTAGAGCCTAGGCTCCAAACAATCAAATTAGAGCATACTTTCAAATAGTGTCGAGAAATGTGATTTCAATATTGAAAATCTTTTTGATAGGCCTAAAATATGTTTTCATCTTTAGTTAGAAAGTTTAAAGCTTTAAAAATAATGTAGATCGAGAGATCTATAATAACTTGAAAATTTTGAAAAGTGACGGTCCAAAAATATGTTACAAAATGCATTATTTCCAAAACTTGAAATCCATTTTTTTCTCGTGTCGATGCACCTTGATGTCGAGATGATCAGTTTGAGGATATTTGGGCATCAAAACAACCTCTTCTAGTGAAATTTTTTAGTAGGCTCTAATTTGATTGATTAAAGCATCGTCTCTATATAAACCTTTCCCATATATATATGAGCAATGATCTAATGCAACGGTTGTATCACAGTATAATGCAACGACACTCCTAGAAAACCATGTTTGTGGTATTTGTATGACCCCAGATTTTGCAAGCACACTCTCTTCATTTCAATAATTAATCCCTAAAAAAACAAAGTTCAATTTGAACCTTAGATATGGTCAAAATGAGTCCCTTCCGAAAACGAATCTAGACCGTTCATTTTGTGAATTTCAAGATCTTAGCATTTATAAACTCAAAATCATTTTATTCTTTTTTAACATTGTTTATCTAATGATAATAAAGTCATCCAAAAACAATGGAAATGAAAAAATCCTTCTAAGGCCTAGATCTAAGCATCTCACTAAATGAACGACCTATGTTAATTGAGCTAAAAAATTACTTTCTAGGTTGTGTTTTCAAATTTTTCTTTTATGTAATTGTTCATTAGAATGAAAAAAGTGTATATTTCAAATTTTGGATGAAACAAATGGCCATAAGATGGTTTTTTAAAGTGTTGCATCATATTATTGCATAAAACTATCATTTATATATATATATATATATATATATATATATATATA